TAGAATGCATCGGGAAAGGAAGAGAGGGAGTGTAAGTCTGCAGAAACTCTTCCTCTGAGTGATAAACCAAATGGGGAAGAAGAATTGTAAGAACACAAAAACCTCCTTCCTTTAGAACATCCACCGAAATATAAGGGGTTAATCCTGAGGAGCATGCCCACCAAGTATTTGGAGGGGGAATAAGGAAGGCCCCTTTTGACTCAGAGAGATTCTTGGTCTGGTTACAGAGGGAAGAGTATTGTAGTGGAATCTCACCGAGGCATAGTCCCGATCCTGAAATCTGCTCCAAAGTAATTTTAGGTATCGTACCCCATGCACATTGGGAGACATTATGGGAAACATTGTAGGAACCCAACATCCTTAGCTTTTAGTGTAGGAAAATTTGTGGTCTGCTGAGTTAATACATTCCAAAATTTTGCCTGATAGCCATCAAGATGTTAGGTCAGGGGCTGAAGAGATGGCTCAGGGGTTAAGAGCACTGTTTGCTCTTGCAGAGCACCTAACTTTGGTTCCCTGCACTCATGTGGCAGCTAACCATGCATAACTCCATTTCCAGGGGACCCGACACCCTCTTCTGAACTCCGTGGCTATTGCATGACATGGGTGCACTTACATACGTGCAAGCAATACACTCATAAAATAAAAATAAGCTGGGCATGGTAACGCATGCCTTTAATCTCAGCACTTGGGAGGCAGGGGCAGGAAAATCTCTGTGAGATTGAGGCTAGCTTGGTCTACATAGTGAGTTCCAGGACAGCTGGGGCTTCAAGGAGACCCTGTTTCAAAAAAGACAAAAAATAAATAAAAGCGGTTAAGAACACTGGTTGTTCTTGCAGAAGAATTAAATTAAAAAAATTAAAAATAAATAAAATATTTTTAAAAGATATTAGGGGCTAGAAAAAGAGGTTGAAAATAAATGACTATAAAGGAGCTGAAGATAGCCCAATATAATTTTGGTTCTCAATCTGCAGTATTCTATCTCTTCAAAAATTCTCATCAATCAGGTTGTTTAATCTCAGAGAACTTCAGTTCACAGTGGACATGCGAGTCCCTTCTTTTGTTCAGGCCCTTTTTACTTCCTCCCTCCCTCCCTCCCCCAAATAAACTTGTGAATATTTGTGTACAAGTCTTTATAGGAATATATGCTTTATTTTCTGCTGGGTGAATACATAGGACTGTGATGGTTAGATCATGTGGTAGGTTATGATTAACTGCAAACTTCTTTAGAAATGGTCATGCCATTTTACATTCTGCCATCAGTCTGTGCCTGTGAAAATTCCAGTTTCTCTACATTCTTACCAATACTTGTCTGTATTTTTGGTGGAAGCTCTCCTAAGAAGGTGTAAAGTTGTAACACATTTTGATTGGGTGTTGTTACTTTAGTTGTTGTTGGTGGTGGTATGGTTGGTTTGTTTTGTTTTGCTTTTTGAGACAGGGTCTTGTCACCCATGCTGGACTTGAACTCCTGATCGTCCTGTCTCCACCTCTCAAGTGCTGGAATTACAGGCACATATCTCACCTTGGTTCTTAAGTTAGATCTTTGGGTCTAGGAACAAAGCATGTGCAAGGCAGATTAACAGAGAGAAGCACACAGGTTTTTATTAATTCCTATTTATACTGGGGAGGTTTTTTAGAAAGTGAACTGGCCAAAGCAGAAAGCTTTAACACATTTTTGACAAAGAACAGTAAATGTGTGAAGGAGTGACAGGGCAGTGATCTGGGCTGGGAGTCAGTTCTAGAACCAACTCTGGGAGCTGTGTGGCGGGGTGTGAAGTAGTTTGTATGGCCCATCACAAGTGCAGGCTCTGGAGGATAAGGGTTATTTGTGGTCCTGGTACAGGGAAAGTGTGCTGCTCAAAAGGATTTCTGTGGTTTGCTAGTGTAGGAAAGGATAGGTCAGAGAACCCTTTCTGTAAGCACCCTGTCTCCAGTACTTTAAGTGTGAAATAATCAGTGTATCAAACTGGCTTATGTGGTATGGATGGTCCTTAACTCCTTCAGCTAATAATTTTTGATTATCAGCTTACTAGCCAATCATACATCTTCTTGGATGAAAGTGTCAAAATGTGTCTTCTTATTAAATGCAAATAAATGCATTGCTTTTCTGATCCTACATCATTCAGGGTGATCCCTTTTCTACCCATCCTGAAAAGTCATGGTTGATTCCCCTAGAACAAAAAGTTAACAAAAAAGCATTCATTAACT